CCCTTGATAGCTTCGCCAGTTTAGTTGATATTTAGGGGCCAACTACTGAGACTTTTGATAGCTTCGGCTATATCTCTTTAGTTAAACATTAGTTAAGTTTTATTTCTTATTATTTGAATTCAAGTCCAAGTGGAGACTTTTGTTGTACTCTCGGAGAAAGGAGCCGATTGTTTAATTCTTATTTTGAGAAATAAAGGGTAATTAACCCTTCTTGAGTTTACGTCTCTGTTCCTGAACTAAAGCGATTATTCGCTTAAAAGTTCACGAGCTTCCTAATACACAGCTGTTACAGAAAAGGTTGAAAACCCCCAATATAACGAATGTAAATAAATTATAAACAAAATTACAAGAAGACTTTTAATAAAAAACATGAAAACTGATCTTTTTAAAATTTCACTTTGTTTCTTAAACTTTTATCATTCACATTTCCTTTGCAAACGCTATTCCTTTTTGCAATTTAATTTCATTACTGCTCTTACGTGTTTTTAAAGGTAATAAATTTTATTTCAATTCTTTCGCTGTAAATTTTAATTTCTTTGTTGTTTGAAACTTGCGTAGGGAGTTTTCTCTTTGCGTAGGGACTGCTTACTTAGATACTAGTACCTATAGGGACTAACCTACTGCGTAGGGAGTTTTCTTTTTTGTGAATCATAATTAAAACAAATTATTGCGATAGGAAACTCTTTTAATTTACTTTATTCCAAGTAATTTTTAAATTGTCACAGTCATGCGGATAGATTTTTAATACTTAATTCAAATCACAAAAATGCGTCACTTGGATTAATTTTATAGTAGTTGAACATTAATAATAAATTTGCGATATTGAAATTTATGATAGCTCCCCTTTGATTTTTACATGAAGATAGGGTCTCAATCTTTTCAACCTCGATATCATTTTCTAAATTATCTAACAATGTACAGTTACTATTAAACTTCCCACCTCGTATTCACGAGGTATTCTTTTCATAAAAATAAATAATTGTATGTGACTGCACATACATAATGTTAAAATCATCACAGCACTTATAAAAATTATGAAGAACGAATTGCACACACACACGCAGACACAGATACCTATGTTATACAAGTAAAGATAGTTGAAACTTAAAACTTACAGATTTGCAGCATGACTTTCTCTATCAGAAAGATCCAACCAACAGACCGTCTCATTCGTTAGTGAGAATATGCAGAACCAAACTTATTTCAATAGATTGCATTTATGACAACTTCTCAAAACAGATGCCTAAAAGCATCGAGTTCATAAATCTAAGCTTTGCAAGAAATAACAGGAAAATCTTCGCAAAATAACATACTTTGCAAACAGTTTCCTAAATAATTTTTTCCAGTTCTTTCGCAATCCAGCGCTGAGCTCATTAGCTGATTAGTAGCTTTAATGAAAGGGGCTGATTTCCCTTTCCAATTAACACAAAGCTTTTAAAAGTCAGAGGCTGGTTCATATTTTAAATAAGGAGCTTATCTCCGAAATTTCTGACGAAAAGCGTTGGATAGAGAATGGCAGAGCTGTAATTACATGTATTTCACAAAGAAGTGTTTAAGAACATAGTTTAGGAAGTGTTGTATCGCTTCCATAATTTTTTATTTACTATAAACCGTTTATAGTAAGCAAATAATAAAATGATTTAACTGTGATTTTTAAAATACACGTGTACATACTCTGATTTTGTATTTTCAGGAAAGTTGAATTGTTTAAATAATGTTATTCAGAAAGGAAGGCCTACTAATTACGTTTTTCTTCTATAGAAAAAAGAGAAGCAGTTGAGTCAGATTGCTGTTTAAAATAAATAAAATAATTCCTTCATCCAGAAAAAGTGGCACAATATGTATTTCTGTTTCTTCCGGTCATAGAAGTAAAGCAGTATCTCCACAGGTCAACAAAATGCTAGTTTTGACAGTAACAGTTAAAAAACAGAGCCATTTATTTTTTATTTAGATTTTATTTCCCGTTAAAGCCATATCATTTGGCGCAATTTTTTTATGTGTGTGTGTGTGTGTGCTGTTTTGGAGCATTTCCTCCGTGCGAGTTGTTGGGAGTTTGGTTTGATTTCTCTTCTTTGCATGAATTCATCTTTATTGCAATGGATTCCACGATTTGGAATGATGGTTTCACCTCGCAAGCTTTCGAATCTCTATCAGCCTCTATATTTTTATACTATTTGCCATGTTCACACTAAGAGGGCACCCATAAAATACTTTAAAGCCTCTAAAAAAAAAAAAAAAAAAAAACTGGTTCTTGCCAATGATCGCGGAACTTCCATCCATGGTTTTTAATGTTTTTATGCCATAAAACGTGTTTTCTCCCTTCTTTCATTATGACTTCGTGGTGTAATGGTAACATATCGGCGCGTATTTCAAGAGGTCCAGGTTCGAGTCCTGGCGAGGGCATTACACATTTTTCACGTCTCCAGTCTCAAAGAAACCTAATGACGCTACAGTGGCCCCCGAACTAAAAGGTTCGTCACCACCAGGATTTGTGTCCTCCTAACCCCAGCCGCTCTTTAAAAAGAAAGGTATTTTCTCCCTCCTTTCAGCACACCTGCTTGGTGTAACGGTAGCACACTCAGCGCGTACTTCGAGACGTCCAGGTTCGAGACCCGGTGAGGGCACTGCCCACTTTTCACATTTCCAGTAAAAAAAAAAAAAAAAAAAAAAAAAAAAAAAAAAAAAAAAAAAAAAACCTAATGACTTTACAGTCGCACATAAATAAAGAAAGTAAACTTAATGCAAACATTCTCACTTTCTATTCTTGTAAGTATCTAAATGAATTAACAAAAATTCTCTCATTTTTACAATGGAAATGAATGAGAAATAACCCAATGTTAGATAAATTAATCTTTATTTTCATACGTCTCTACGCTGTAAGTAATAAGAAAACCAAAATGTTGTTAAACATTCTCCTGTTATTTGTAAATGGATCATAAATAATCTTTACTTAAACAAAGAGTTTTCAATAAAACAGAGTACGAATTAATTATTATTGACATTAAGATGGGTTAAATAAGCAGCTGAAAAAATTGTTCTATATTGTTGTTATTATTATTTTTTTCTACATATGTGAGAAAGTTAAAAAGTATGTTTAATATCACAGAAATGATTATAATATAAGTTTAATTTCTTTTGTTTTGGAAGCTTATTAATTCCTGAACTCTTCATATAATCCTCATCAATCTAGATACTTTTCTTCAGAAGATGGATCGACTACACGTAACGCTTTAGAAAATTGTTTGATAGTTATTCAGCTGTTATGAGACTGTCCTAATGATGCCATCTTATCCTTAAAACTCTTTCTCATACCTAGAAGCACTGATGGAGAAAAAGAGCTAGAAATCAATTGATGTCACAACAAAGAATAGGCTAGAACTTGAGATAGATTGATTTTTAGGCTTTCAATATACTCGATCATTTTGATGAATCTTATGTCAATGAGTTTTCCACTTGATGAAGTCTATGGACAATGCCAACTATTTGAAAAGTGCTGAAAAAGCTTTCAAAGAAAATAATTTACTGATCAAAATCATATACAGCAATATCACGCATAGGCAGAGCAATGGGTTCCCGTACTACTTGATCAATACCTTGGACTATTCTGAAAATGGATTAATCCATGAAAAACCACGTGGATTTCTATTAAAAAAATAAAGAAAGAAAGATGATGGTTCTGGAAACATTTTCCTACTTTTTTTAATAAATAAAACGTGATTAATAAATTCAAATGTCTTTCTTAAGAGTAATTTTTAAAAAAGGTTTGTTTTTCGTATATTATTTTTATGACTTAAAAATTGCGATATTTTTTTTTTTTTTTCATCAATGGCGAGCCTTCAGCCAACTTCGGCTTTGCCATTACTAAGGCCAGAAGTGGTGTTCACTTTATTATGGAGGCACCTAACAGGTGGTACAGCTTTGCCTGCTATGAGCAGAAGGACAGTTAAAACCATGCGTTCTCCGGGATTCGAATTCGGGCCCTCTGGTATCGCAGTCGGCTCTCCTAACCACTATACCGTCTGGTCGGCAAAATTGGGATCTTGTTGCTTGCATTTCTTCTTTGTCCTTGTCTCTTCATACATTGTTTTTTGAAGCAACGAATTGCATTTTTTTTGGTTCGCCGAATTGTAAGGCTGTGTTCAGTATTGAAATCAACTTCCAGAATATGCTCTGACAAGATTCAAACATTCCAAATTTTAATTTTTTTATCTATTAATTATGGATTTGTTCTGTATCATTGCCATGTAAGTTGTTCTCCCGTTTTTCATAAATGCGTTGTTTATTTGTATTAATAAGTATTTCATTATCCTGTTCTTTAATGCACTTAGATTGATGGAATTTGAACTCAGTCGAAATCAAATTTCTGCTATATTATTAGTGATTTATAAGTTGCAAAGCCAATAGAATATGATGTGATATGCTTCTGCCCTTACACTGCTTGCTGTTAATTCATGTCATATTTTTCCAATATTTTCAATTATGCTTTTGATGTTGTAGCTTTTGAAAAATTCCGTTAATGTTGACTCATTTTCTTCTGCAGTTCTAGAGTTCAAGATGAATGGCCTGAGCACAGATATAATGTACGTTCAATGTGATTAATTGTTTATATTTAACTATAATCGATATATATATTGGGAAATCTTATAAAAAATTGGAATATGTACCGTATCTTAAAACTTTAAAAACCGCATTTAAATAAATCTCTCAAAAAGCGAATGAAGGGGAAAAACCGATCATCTACGCACTAAAAATTAAAATGTTTTATATTTATTCTTATTTACCCCAGCAAAATCTTAGTTTTGAAATTTTCAAACCGGACTATAATGAATCCGAACTGATCGAAACTGGACTTGCGGGATTTTGTTGTATATTATTTCTGTTATATGTAGCTTTCTGTTTCTACTTCTCACGGAAAACGACAAATTATACTAACAATTGATTTTTCAATTTTCGGATAATTCATAAATACATATTACTTGCAACTCAATATACCAACTTACCAGTATTCCTATACTTTGGTCAGTGACATGCTTTACGGCCTGGGCGACTTCCTTAGCAACAGAGCTAGCTGAGAGGAGTAGGGTCACTGTATCTTCGATGACCGCTTCTTTGACATTATTGATGAACAAATCTTCGTCTCTTGTAGACTCCTGAACGCTGGGTTGTCCATTAACTTCCAGAACAGACGCCCGTAGGCTGCTGTTGAGCACCACATCAACACCGAGGAGTTGGAAACAATGCTCGCATCTGTTAAGAAAAATAAAAAGTAAATAAAGCCTGATTTTACAGAAGAAATACATGTTTTTATTTAAAATCTAGCAAGCAACACCGGAGAATAAAAAATAACCATTTAACATTACGCAATAAATTAATAACACAATATTTTTATAAGATTAAGAAGTACGATTAGATAGATATAAATGAAAATAAATTCAAAGAATCTGAAGGGGGATTTTTTCAAGTACCAGGACAGGTGACTCCAAAGTGGGTAACTGTTCCGCCTTGTCGACTATCAGCTTATATGCTTGCTTGGTGGAATTACCTACTACCTGCTACTGCCCTTTATAACAATTTCCAAGCTATACAGAATTTTATTACAAAATTATAGGAATTGCAAATCTTTTTACAAAAGGTTTTGCTTTGACAATTTTGAATTTTTACAAACATTCAGTTTTTGAGACATTTTGAATTTTTACATACACTCAATTTTGAGTTTTTATATGCACTAAGTTTTTGAGACATTTGGTACTCCTACATATTTGTTTCTCAACACATGTATATTGGTACAAATAATACTATAAAACAGAATAGTGGGAGGAAGAATAATTTGTGAGAGAACAGAGGAAAGAGAAAGGTGGGAAGAGAAGGCGGGAAATTACAAATGTTTTTGCAAAAGGATTCCATTGCGAAGCTTGACATATATTCAGTTTTGGTGATATCTGTACTACACAATTGTTTTTTAATACAGATATACCGTGCTTTATGTATATTGAAAGTGTGAGAGAATGTAGAGACTTAGAAGAAATGACGAAACTTAAGCAAAAAGAAAGAGGAGAAAAGAAGAAACAAACAAGAAACGTAACATCATGGAGGAAATACTAAAATGAAGATAGAAGATAAATTACTTTTTTTTCAAGTAGCAAAAAATATTCAGAAATTCCAAAAATATTTTTGCTGTTTGAAGAAAAGGAATTCATATTAGACTCTTATCAGAATTTATTTTTCGCCGTCTGCTTTGACGAACCACGGGAATAACACCTATGGAAAAAAGGTAGAGTCATTCATATTCCATCCCCTCTTCATTTACGTTTAGAGTGATTCGCTTCATGAAGAGTACGCAAATGAAGGCTGACTTACAGTCTGAGATTAAGTGTTAAAATAAATGGTTGCGGTGATGACGTTACGACCGCAAATGAGAACGAGAGCTAGCAACGTCCTATTTTTAAGTAACATATTGTAGCAGTTGCGTTTTGCAATTGTTAACTTTGCATTTTTATGATTTTAAATATGCTTATGATAACTTCATAAATGTTATGAAATTTCAGATTTATTTAATTGCAAAATTTTGTCATTATGTTTAATTTTTTATTTATTTTAGAACAAAAAATACAGTATTTATAATGCTGAACACTTTCTTTCAACATCATAAAATTTGTATTTCATTAAGCAATTTCGTTTTATATCTCACTGAACCATGCAGCTTTACTTTCAATATCACGTATTGTGTTGATAGATCAAGCTAAAACAATGGAGGGATATTTGTCCGAAATAAGACGCTTAGATTTCTAAGAGAAATTGTGATAACTCGCACGAAACAAAGGAAAAAAACCATAAACTCGCATGCTCACTGACTGAATTTGAGATGAAATTTGAACTTGAGATCAAATACCAGTTTTCAGTGGTTTTATACACTCCGCTACTGTTGCGTGTTTTATTTTTAATGCTAAAATAGAGTTCTTCAATCAGAATTGATAAAGAGAATATTTAAAATTACTCATAAATATACATATTTCAATAAAAAATAATACAACCTCATATTATTAATTTGAGTGGAAAATCTAGGTAGAGGAGAAGAAAAGACGGGAACTTCAGCAAATTTTAATTCACAACTGAGCAAGCAATTTTATTTAATAGAATGCGTGCAGTAGCTCACTGACTCACAGGAATCGAATTTGAGATGAAATACCAATTTTCAATGGGTTTATCCACTCCGCTACTATTAAGCGTTTCAATTTGATTTAGTAATATTTAAGCATTTAATGCTAAAATAGAGTTCTTTAAACGGAATTAATAAAAATACTAATAAATATACATATTTCAGGACAGAACTACAATCTTTTATTATTAATATGAGTGGAAAATCTAAGCAGAGGAGAAAAATGCTTCAGCAAGTTTTTAATTCACAACTGAACAAGTGATTTTACTTGAAAGAATGCAAGAATTTCAATTATGTGTTGGAATATTGTAACAACTAATGTTGGTTTAATTGCTTAAAATGTTATGAGATTTTAACTGTTTATAGTATTTTAAAGATACGATTAAATTACATTCACGGCTGTAAATTAACGTCGATGTGTGTTTGAATTATCAAACTTTTTCGCGACACACAGAACAAAAGAAAACACGTAAAAGCGTAAAATAAAAATGTAAAGTAAACGAAGAAAAATCTTTTCTTACAAATTTATGCCCTGACTGCCGCAATAAAAGGGTTAAGCACGTCGAACAATGCAATTAGCATGAAGTCAAGAACAATATGCAGGAAAATCATACAGGTGGAAAAATGACGAGAAAGAGTGGTGGAGTAAATACGATTACGACGCGCTATTAATTAACCTGTCAAAACCGGAGTTGAGCTGTGTAATTAGTTTAGACTTCAACGGATAAGAAGATTTTCATTCGATTATTTTTCCACCGACCTGACTACCAGTTCAAGACGTAAATAGGGCGTTTTCGAGAGAATGATGAACTACTTGTAGAGCTGGAAGGAGCGTTGATGGGGGATTATGACACGAACGTGTGCGCTTGGAAACTTTCTAGGAGGAATAATGGAATTGATGATAAGCCGTAAGAATCACTCATGCAGTACTTGACAAGCTAGATATGAATGTCAATCACAAACAAACACATCTTAATTGTTTAATGTTTCGTTTTTTTGCGCTATTGTAAAAAGCAAACTGAGAAAGGAGAAAATAACTAGCATTATGATTAAAGTAAAATAGTATTGTTTTCTCATTTACTGTATTTTTTCTTTTTCTTTTTAAGGCTGAATAACCAACAAACACACGGTTTCATAATGGAATGATTTACCATCAAGCAAAGGGCGAATATTGTTCAATTTTAGTTTGAAAACCAACATAGTATTATTTTCTCGCAAGAAGCGTATCGCGGCTTCTTTAATGTGCATCTCCGATCAGGAGAGTCGTTAGTGCGATTGGCTGTCGTATCATTGGCCCCGGTTTCTAACTCTACAGAAGGTTTGGATGTTGAAAATGTACAGGGTCTGAGCAGCATGCAGACACTTACAATCTTGGCAGCTCGAAAGTCCTCTCGAGATGTTTAGTGGTAGGGAGAGAGAGGTAAAAGACCTTAGGATCAGTCCTCGAGGATATTCTTCACTAAAACTGGGATCAAAATTAGCTGTTAGTTAGGGCGCAAAATTATTAGTCTACTGTTGTCCACCTTAGGCAATTTTCTCGGTGTTAAGATGGCTAAATGAGAAATAGACACTGACCATTTTCGATGAATGCATTAAGTTGTAAGTGCCCAGCCATTCGAAACAACAACGACATTTTTTTTAATGTTTGGAACATCCACACTAATCTAATAAGTTACTGACCAGTTCAACATTTTTAACGATAAACAATGGTTTTCTTGAGAGAACTTTTGTGCAATCGTACAATTTCCCCATTTTCGAAATTCAACTGTCCATTGTTATCGCCAGATTTAACGGATATATCCTTTGTTCTTTGGCGATTTTAAAAAGGAGAGGTGTATGAAAATAAGCTACGAATATACAGTTTAAACCCAATATTTGTCTAGCAGTTTAAGAGCTAGGACCAGAAATTAAAGCAGGAATTATGAAGATTTCTCTGGTTTTACCATTTACCTCATATTATTTTTGAACTGTAATGTAAACATATTTCCAAAATTTTACTTTATGTTAAGAAATGCAAGAAATAACTTATGTTAAAAGATAAAAATGGGATTCATTACTTAAATTATAACGTCAATTTTATGAAAAATTAGATTAAAAAGAAAATTACTCAAAGAATAAATGTTTCATAGGGTATCTTATGTTAATTAAGCAGTTATTATAATTTATGTCTTTATTATATCTTCTCCTTTCCGTATTATTCGCCAGAAAGAAAACTAGCTCAGAGTATTTAAACTGTTTTGGATTTAAGGTAGGGAGAGTTTATGGCATCGCGTGCGCCCTGCGTGGTTAGTTCTTGCCAGCTCTAACAGTATTAATTATTTGGCTTCGCCATCTCTCGCTGTCAACATTCTAAATCTGATGCGCCGGTTATGTTCTTGAGCCAGCTTCTAGTATAGCACTTAATAACTGTTCAGTGTTTAATTTAATTTGGACTTTCCTATTTATTTGGTTATTGTCGTACAAGAGCGTTCATTCATGTTCGAAGGTTTGTTTGAATAAAACGGTTATTTAAATCTCCTCGAGACTTTATGGCTGTTCTCAGACTTAACTATAACTCACTTCCCATCTGCTTGGGTTATAGAGCTTAAATATAATCAACAGACCAAGTGTAACCCATGAAGTGGCGCCCGAATAAATTAGGGATCATGATGGAAGAAAAAGCAACATTTAGTCTGTCCCAATGGAAGTTTTGGGATTTATCTCAGATACTATGAGAGCGTCGATGAAACAAGCCAGCATTTTCGATGGTAAAAGTTCCGTAGAGACTTTTTTTGGAAGAGATAAAGAGGCATTTCCTACTTTATCCGGTTTGCAGAATTACAAAATGTTAACATAACAACCGCCGAGCTTCGAGGACAAGCACTGAGCCAGTATAAAGACAATCGATCGGTCAATTTTTCTTGGGTGAACTAGGCAGTGAGAACCGTCCTTGTGAAAGCATTGCCCGCGGTGAAAGACATGGCGAAACTAGAAGCGGAACGTTTTGGTAGATATCAAACTAAGGCTGAAGAACTGATTGAGTTTATACTGAAGAAAATACAAGCTGTGAAAATAATTCTATGGGAGGAAATCCGATGCGGAGGTTATTCAA